GCGCTCCGGCCATGGCCAACGCGTCGCAGTGCCTGGAGGAGGGCTCGGGGCGCTGGCCGCCGCCGGCCGGGCCGTACAGCGAGGCGCAGCGGCTGGCGCTGGAGGAGCTGGTGGCGGGCGGCCCCGAGGCGCTGCGCGCTTTCCTGCGGCGGGAGCAGCTGCCGCCCTTCCTGTCGGAGCCCGAGGTGCAGGACATCGCCCGGGCCGCGCTGCCGCCCGCCGCGGGCCCGGAGCCGGCGGCCGAGGCCTCGGCCGGAGCCTCGCTGGACGCCTCGTCGCTCACCTACTTCCCCGAGCGCTCGGACCTGGAGCCGCCCGCGCTGGAGCTGGGCTGGCCGGGCTTCGCCAGCGGCGCCTTCCGCGGGCTGACGCGGGTGGAGGCGCATTTCCAGCCCGGCTGCGGGGACAGCATCTACGGCTGCAAGGAGGCGGTGCGGCGCCAGATCCGCTCCGCCCGACAGGTGAGTGAGGGAGTGAGTGAGGGAGTGAGGGAGTGAGTGAGTGAGGGAGGGAGTGAGGGAGTGAGTGAGTGAGTGAGGGAGGGAGTGAGTGAGGGAGTGAGGGAGTGAGTGAGTGAGTGAGTGAGGGAGGGAGTGAGGGAGTGAGTGAGTGCCCGGGGACCGCTCTGTCCTGCCCTGCCCGGGGCCCCTCTCCCCTGGGTCTGCGAGCGTATCAAGAAGCGGCACCGCTGCGCGTCGCCATGGGACACCCAAGTGGCATGGGCGCATCCAAGTGGCTTTAAAACCCTTGTCGAGTAGACAGGGTCATTAAGGAGGACAAGTTCGAAAATACAGAAAAAAATGTCACTCTGTTTGCTGCATCTGCGAGCTCTCCCTTTGCCGGGTGCTCCGGGTGATGTCCCAAGATCTCCCCGTCCCGCAGCGCTGCTGCCGTGGCCAGCACAGCCGCTGGATCCAGCCGACCCTGCTTTCACTCGGAGCAATAGGTCTCCTACTCAAGATTCCCCACTGATGTTTTCTGCCAGACAGGTGCGCTTGCAGAAACATCCTACTGTCCTTTAAAGGGTGTGACACAGAGAAAACCTCTTCTATAAGAGAAGGTTACCTATAGATATAACACCGTGATTGTATTTTCCTTCCTTAGCTCACTAAGTGACGTACAGAACTGCTTTTGACAGGATTTTCTCCCTACAGGAGTGAAAGCTTTTGTTCTGATGCACAGTACGGCTTGAAAACGACGTGGCGCAGGAACTTTTAACCGTTCCCTGTAACTCATTGCATTCCCGGAGTTTATAGCCTGCAACTGTAATCCCCAGCCGGGAACCACCCTTCTCCTTAGCAGCCATTCCATTGGCTCAGCTAAAATTTAAATGTGTAGCTTCCTTTTTGGGTGGCCAGATGAAGCAACCCCTGTCTCTTTGTGTAACGTGCACGGCACACCCTGAATCAGCACCGAGCTTGGTCTCTACTCCCTTGCGAGGGCAGAAGCTTAGGGAGCGTGTGAGGATGACATGAAGGACGGGCTTCTTGCCAGAAACGGTCACAGAGAAAGCTCTGTTCTCAAACAATCCCTACAGGTATATGAGACCACTCTGGTAACTCGAGTAAACACCATAAAGGCATTCATTCCCCCCAAAAGCTGTACTTGTTTGTAATATTGTTCCCTGCAGCATCCTGACAAACACCTTCCCCCACTCTGAGCCAAGAGCAAGGCAAGCTGCTCCTGCCCCATTTGTGGCTGTGCCTGATCCAGGGAGCATTTTTGTGGACATAAATGGACATTTTTTACACCTTAAGATTATTGAATGTCAGATTCTGTGTGATGCTTCTCAATAATTTCTGAGTTCCTCAAGTTAATGTGAAGACTGGGAAAATTTCAGATGCTGTGCTCCTGCCCCATTTGTGGCTGTGCCTGATCCAGGGAGCATTTTTGTGGACATAAATGGACATTTTTTACACCTTAAGATTATTGAATGTCAGATTCTGTGTGATGCTTCTCAATAATTTCTGAGTTCCTCAAGTTAATGTGAAGACTGGGAAAATTTCAGATGCTGTGTAATTTCTTCCCAAATTAATGCACTCAAATGCAGTTAGTTAAGTGACTTGCTGTGATCTTGTCCTTGCTATCCTGAATGGATGAGTAGAGAAAAGGGTTTTCTCTCTTTCCTCTAAAGATTTTAGGCAAAACTGTATTTATTTTTCAGCTGCTAATTCTGGAACTAGAACTCAAACATGCTGTGAACTGAGCTGTCATATGAAGGCATCAGTGTTCCCAAGGATTTAGTGTGAATTGTTTTGTTTTCAGGGGTGGTTTTCTTACTTGCCTGGTCATGTCAAAAGCATCTTATTGGTTTTTAATCTTCTTCAACACTTAGATGAGTGATTGGGTGGCAAGAGGATCAGGACACACGCAAGAAGCACCAACATAAAGTAACTTTATCTAGAAATACCCATGTGCTTGTGCATGTTATTTGTCAGAGCTCAGCCAAACAGAACCAGTCCCTTAGGGAGCAGGACAGAGGTGAGAATGCAGAGCTCAGTCTGTTCCTGTGGGAAAGGTGTCCTGTGAGTACAGGCTGTGCCACACACAGAGCAGCTGTGTTGCATGCTTTTACACCTTGGGTGTGCTGCAGCAGCCTCCATCTGATAAGGGCAGGTGCCAGGTACCCACAGTGGTTGTATTGTAATTTTTCTTTATGCTGGTTTAATAGAAAAGTGGAAAATTCAGTCATAAAGTTGTGTCCCTACACAGAAGTGGTTTGGAAGGGTGAGAACTCAAGCACCAAATCAGTGTGTGAGGTGGCTCTGAATTAGCTGGAGAGATGGTTAATACATGTGATATTCCCATCTTAGGATTTGCCTTTTTGAGAGAACTGTTGGGTGAGTGGGGGGATTTCCTGTGAAGGTAAGGGATAGAAACTCAGTAAGAATATAGAAACCAGGAAGAGTCTGGAGATCAGCTGGGGTTTGTGAGCTCTGACAGCAAGGAGGCCATTTGAGCTAATTCTCCTGTAGCTGCTTGAAACACAGGGAGAATAGGTGTGGAGATGGCTTGTCTGGAGTCCAGATTCTGCTGTGATAGCTTCCCCAGTCTGGCCACACTACAGGGGCTTGTGTAGGAAAGGAGGATGTGAAAGTGTACAAAAGCAGCTGACAGAGGAAAAAACTCTTCAGGCCTATGCTTTGCATGCTGGGGCACAATGAATTTACAGGAGTGTGGTGGGAATATAGAAATCTTTTAGAGCTTGCTAGAGCCTGTGCAGCAGGACAAGGAGATGTGCATGAGACCCTGATGATAGCAGCAGGAGAAAATGGCTGGGGGAGGCAGTGGTCCTGTGGTAATTAAGTCCCCTGAGTAAGCGGTGTGGCTTTCCTTGCAGGTGATTGCCCTTGTGATGGATTCCTTCACAGACATTGAGATCTTCAGTGACCTTCAGGATGCCTATAACAACCGCCAAGTCCCTGTCTACATCCTTCTTGACCAGGACTTTGTACCCCATTTCTTGGAAATGTGCAACAATTTGGGAGTTTGTCCTGAGCAGGAAAGTGTAAGTACTGAACTGGGGTCAGTGTGGTTTGTTTTTATTTTTGTGATACAGTTTATGCATATCAAAGAAACCTTTCTATAAAGCATCAGACTGCCTTGAAAGGCCAAAGCAACCTGTGTGTTGTCCATATGTAGGAGCTACAAGCATGATGTGTACAGGCCCATGTGCTCTCTGCACCGGGATCCCTGTCCTGAGGATGCAGCAATTTTCAGGGATTTAATTTTGCAATGTTTAAATAGCTTTATTCTTTGGCTCAAGGAACTGCTTGCTAAGGAAAACAGAAACGTGGGAAGCTAAAGGGTGGTACAGCTCTGGTATCAGCTGCTTTCTTTCCTAATACTTTCTTTTAAAAGGGTTTGGATAATGTGAGCCAGGTGATTTGTTTAGCTGCTGTGAATATAAATGGACATGGCTGAGTTATGGCTTGGCTTGGATAGGCTTATATTCACTGCAGTAAAAGTTTCTCTGGAGAGGGAAAAGCACTCCTGCCTTCCTGGGCAGTAATTAATTGGAACTGACTGTTCTCACCTAATCCAACAGGAATTTAGCACTGTGTGACTAAAAACACTCATACACAGACTGTATTAAAAAGTTCCTTTCATTCCTATATTCCATACTGGAAGTTAACTTAAATTTGATGCCACTTTTTTCCTTTCTTTTCTGAACCAGATGATGAGAGTTCGAACTCTCACAGGGAGCACGTACTACATGAGGTCAGGTGCCAAAATTGTCGGGAAAGCCAAGGAGAAGTTCATGTTAATTGATGGCATTAGAGTGGCAACAGGCTCCTACAGGCAAGTATTGGGGTCTGCTGGTGCCCAGTGAAGGTGTAGAAATAGGGATTTGATGCAACAGGATGTATTAACTTTGCTGTTTGCCCGGTGTTAATGAGTGCCAATGGCACATGGACTAGCTGAGTCAAATTTGGGCTGACACAAATCTGAAAACACCTTTGGAAAACTGGTTTACTCAGCTTGTTGCTAGCAGAGAACTTGGCCATGGCTAAATAGAGTTCTTCCTGCAGAAATGAATAGTCTGTTGAAGTCTTACCTTATCTTCATTTTTAAGCTGAGTCTTGATGTCTGTAGCTGTATTGTTGAAATGCACCAGAGATTAACTGCGAATCTTGGTTTCCTTTCAACAGTTTCACATGGTCTGATGGGAAGCTGAATAGCAGCAACTTGCTGGTGTTGTCAGGTCAAGTGGTTGAACACTTTGACCTCCAGTTCAGGATTCTTTATGCCCAGTCACTGCCCATCAGCCCAAAGCGACCGTCCAGCTGCAGGAACAGTGGCATGTTTGATCACCTGCTGACCAGAACAGAATCCTCCAAAGAATATACTGTGGAAGGCAACTTGAGAGCAGAATTTGCCAGACTGTCTAGCACTCCAAAGAAATTGCTGGAAAAAACAGATCAAACTGAATATACTGCTGCAGGAAAGCTTTGTAACCTGCAGCATTCTTGCCTGTGTGAAGAGGAGTTGTTCAGCAATCAAGCGACCTCAGTGGAACAGAGAAGTGCATCAACTCAAACTGGCCCTTGGGAAGAGATGGCAGCTGTGACCAAATGTAATGCAGCCACTCAGGCCAGCACTGCCACAGCAGACACTAGCACTCAGGCTTCTGTCACGGCCAGAGTGACAGGCACTCAGACATCCATTTTGCTGAAGACTGCAGTGACACAGACAAAGGAAGAGGAGGGCACAGAAACACCCCTCCTTCCCAGAAAGTTCTCAAAAGAAGAGTATTTTCTGTCTGCAAAGGCCGTATCCAGTTCTAGTCTGCAATCACTGTCTTCATCATCATCCCAGTGCTCTCTTGCAAGCTCTACAGGCTCAATATCCTCTCTCCGCTCCTTTGAATATTCCAGTAGTCACAGGGCACAATATTTCCAAAAACTGCACAAAGAGAGGCAGTTCCACTACTCCACCATCAGGTCGAAGCTGAGCCACATGGTGGATATCCTGTCCCGGCGGGGCCGTGTCCCTGCCAGCTACGTGAGCCAGTACCCTGGCAGGTGCAGCCTGAAGCAGAGGCGCGACATCAGCGCCAGCCTGCGCAGCCTCCGCGACGCCTCGCTCTTCTCCCTCAATAAATGATTCCTGCCCCGACCACACAACACACAAACCCCAGGCTCAAGTTGCTGTCACTTTGTACCTAAAGATTCTTTCACTTCTGTCCAGCACTTTTAATTCTTTAATACTTTTTTAATACACTACTCTCCAGCACTTTGTTTTATACTATGCAACGTAAGTGACGAAAAAGAGACATTATATTGTAACAACTTAGAAGTTCCTCTTGCATTAGTGGTGAAGATCATTTTAATTCTGGGTATTTAACCTCAAAACTGAACTTGATACTGCTTTCTGGGATTGCTAATGCCCTAGTTTTAATTTATGTAAACTTGGAAAAATCTGAGTCACACTGCTCAGAGTAGCTCTGGAGATCTGTCTTACCTCAAAAATTCTCAATCTTTTTTGCAATATTCTACTTTATCTTTGACAGAAGAGGAATCAGCTTTTACAAAGAGCCATAAAGCTGATTTTATTCTAACTTCTGTGGTATATATGTTACTCTTCCACTAAAGTTGCAAGGAGTCTGTTGAAACAGTTACAGGTTATCTTCAACTATATTATTTTTCCATTGTTTAAGCCTTCTGAAACAGAATGAGCTAACAAGCCTTCTAGTTTGATCATGCTCTTGTGCCTTTGTTTAGAGATATATAAATAGAGATATATAAATATATATGTGTGTGCATGTGTGTGCTTCCTTCTTTGCAGTGAACTCCAAGGCAAGACAATCACTGAGGGTGTGTGACAAAGCCCCTGTTCAAAAGTAAACTGACAAATGCACTACGGAATGTTATGGGTTATGTTGGGTAATGTTAATTTACTGTAGGAATAACTGTAGGAATTAAAGAAACATTTTTCTCTTTTTAACTGTGCTGTCTGAAATACTCTTTCCTGCTCTATAATTTTTCCACTACTAACTCAGTTTGAGGAGCTAAAGTGCCACTCTGGTTTTTGAAGATACTTCCAATATTGAGTGGATCTGAGGTTTGGTTGCTTTGCAAAGCCTTTATCTGTTTGCAGATTTCTGTGCATGTCTGTTCTTGCTGCGTCTCTTACCTGAGCAGTGTGTGCAGTCTCTCCCTGAGATCTGGCCTGTATCCTTTTTCTTTAGACCTGCTTCTCAGACTTAAACTGAATTCTGCCAAATCAAATCTGAGTCTGGGTTATGTATTTTTTTATTAAGGGGCATGTGTGTCCAGTAGATGGCACATTTCAGCTGCTGGCTTGAATATTGAATGAATGAATGAATGAATGAATAAAAATATCCATAACTCTGCTGCTGTGTTGAGAGTAACTAACTTTGGCATTTCTGTCTGAAATCTCTATGGACAAAGACGCTTTGCTGCTTATATTACTTGGATTTCTAAGCTGCCACTCCTTCACTGAAGCTGGAGGTGGGGAAAAAAGTTCTGTCTGCACTTGTTCAAAACGATAAGGTACTTTATTGCTTGATT